CGTCTGTGAAATTCTCTTACCGGAGTAGAGCTGGAAACGGTGTAGCGCCACTTTTGTGCCTTGACATTAATCCCGGGGAGCGCATGCGCAGAACGGAGAACTTTCCACTTTCCGTCCAAAGATCGTGTGTTAAGGAGATGAGTCACTACGTCAAGAAGGCGTTACGTGCGAGGCCGGCGTTAAGAGAGCATGTTTACATGTAAAAGGGATTCCCTAATAATAATGACTGCTACTAACTGCAGTATTTTTTATCCATATTTTGTATACTATTTATATTTGATATAATATTTTTTCTTTACATTTTGGGTTGTTAATTCTATATTCCACTTTTTAAGTATTTTTATTTTATGTCTGAACACACTGAGGCTTCTTCTGTAAATAATTTCCCAATAAAGTATCTATCTCTATCTATCTATCCATCAGCTACATGACTGAAATGTTCATACATACAGCCTAGTTGTACTTTACTCAAATATTTCCATTTTATTCTATACTCCTCGTCACCCGCAAGTCCCTGCAATGCCCTCTCCCCTCAGTACCTCACAGATCTCCTCCACCCTTACATCCCGTCCCGCACCCTTCGACCCTCAGACTCCGGCCTGCCTTCAGTGTTGTGTTTTACCTTTATGAAGCTACTACTTTACAAGCACCAATGTTTTTCTACAAATCATTTTTTACTACCTTTACTTCCATTAAATATCTGAATACTTTTCATCAGTGCAGTTAAATACATTTATTCCCAAAAACACAATTTATGATGCTTTAAATCTTGCATATATGCTCACGTTTATGGAAATGGGAATTAAACAAAGAGTGACACCTCCCTCATAATATATCCTCTCCGACGTCATCCATTCCTATTCCTTAATTTTATTTTCGTCACGCATGCGCATGAGGGGCAATCAGGAGGGTTGGTTCCATTAAGATGATTTACCCTTATCGATACAGATCATGTAACCCGTGTAAACTGACACCATATCTGCTGGGAAATGGCATACTTTGATAATAAAAGGTTCAGATCCCTTTTTTTTCAAACAGGCTGCATTGAAGTACACTTGGTCCAATCAGCAGGAAGGATCCGGGTTGAGAGAGTTCATGTTCTCAGTTCTGTCCGTAAAACATCGCCTTTCCTTATGTAATTCCATCCAGACATGCAGGAGAAAACCCAACACGACATATAACATAATTGATAATCCCTGAAAAGCATCATTATAAATCTCTGTTGAAAAAGGGGGATGCCAAAGGATGTTAAAATACCTTTATTATTAAAATAGCCAATGTATACCGAGCAAAACAGGTTACATTTGATACAAAACAAACACTATGATGGGTTAATTTGGTGTTTTTGTGCACAAAATCCGAAGAAGTGATCACGTTTTAATATGGCGGATCAGGTGCGTTCAAGGTACCGACCGGCATAAGTGAAACGTGCAGATCGATTCACTTCAGGGGTTATTTCCATCTCTTCAACCCCACATTATAGACTGAATAAACCGCACAAATATCTCCAAACTCACCAGACTGATGGCAGGAGGAGGATTGGACGGATTTATTTCCAAATTATCCTGATAACAATCGGGTTGCCAGATCTTCTGCACAAATATCCGACTCTTCAATGTTCCCACATGCGCAAAGGCAACTAACATGTACAACGTTTGTGACACTGGAACTCAATTAAGGAAGTAATGCAGACTGTTCCTTTATTACACGCAGCCGTAAAGTATAGATCTACATAGCGTTCATTAAATAATTGTGTGTTTGTATGTGTGAGGCGTTCACTGACCTCATTTAATGTCATGCGCTGATGTGCGCAACACAGCAACGCGCAGTATCGTTTCCCTTGTTCAATACATCTGTCTGCCTCTTTACTGTAGCTTTATGTAGCCTATACACTATGTACTCTTTATTGCGTGTTTACCCGGACATTGTTTAGTCATATTTGAATATGAACTGGGTTTGTTTTGTATTCATCTTGTGGTCCTGCTGCAACTGCTGCACAAGCATTTCCTGCAATAGATGATATGGATCTTATCTTAAATACAAGGCCAACACTTTTGCAGAGAGGATAAAGCAAATAAGTATTTACTCAAGTGCTTCCTTGGCACCTTTTAAACAGTACAGTATTTAGTCTCCAAGAATATCTATGATGTAGACTCTTCCTTTGAGATATCAAAATGTATGTTCAGTGTGTGACATCAAATGCATGTCATGGATTGAAACACCAACCGTATAGTTTCGTGTAATTAAAGCCGTCAGATATTTATATTGGAGTAAATTACTACTGACAGTTAGTAGAAGTTAAAGTGGCATACAAAGAAACAACGACAAGTAATAAAGGCCAAGTTGTTATTACTTTTTATTATTGTCGGCCTACATATTTTATTCTGAAGCTCAGCGCGTTCTTATAAAGTAAGAGTTCATATTTCAGACCTGGCGATAAAAGTGGTTTTGACAGCTTTTCCTGAAATACTATATAATCCTAAAGATATGATTAAATGGGCGATAGCTTTTCCAAAAGGTGCATCAAAGTTACATGCTGTACATCTTCTAATTTGTTCCTATTTTTACCACCTGGATGAAATACTTAGGGGAGAGTGGGGTAAATTGAGCCATTTTTTAGTTATGCTGTCCTTAAGCAAGGAGAAATGACACATAGTAAAAATGAAAACACACACCTATAATTCAGGATGTCTCCTATCAATGGCAATGATAAGAATTCATATTTGATCAAGGACAGTGAAAATATGACTTCTTCAAAAAAAGTGCAGGTCTTGTGGCTCAACTTGCCCCGGGTTAGGGGTAAGTTGATCCAGGTCAGGGGTAAATTGAACCACTGTTCAAACCTGGGCATACCTACTCAAAATCTAACTTTAAACAATAAATAATAAACCAAATAAAAGTTTAGTTTTTCAAATATTTTTAATATAAATTTCGATTGAATTGATTGATTTTTTTTAACATGTTAAAAGGAAAAGTAATCGTACAAATGGTGATACAATTTCATCTTACCAATCAAACACAGGGTAAATTCAACTTTAAATGTAGCCATGAGCTCTTATTATCAACTTGGCCTACTTTCATTCATTTCTCCATTGAACAACTGGTTCAACTTACCCCAAGGCCCATGGTTCACTTTACCCCATAGCCACCATTTTAGAGAAAATAGCCTAGCATTACAATTCAGAGTCATCTTTAGCTTAATGATTCACATGGTTTAATACGCTGCCAACACACCAACATATACAATATATGTGTTTAAACCTGGATACATGACAGCCGATATAGCTGACATCTAGAACATTTACTTTGACAAGCAAAAAACGTTTTTTTGTAAAAATGTTTACTTACCAGACCACAATGAGCATCTCTCTTTCACAGGCAATGAGAAATGGGAGGAGTTTACATAATTTCTGGTCACGTGATTACAACTGTAAGGCGTTGCCTGGTTACAGGGGGTGGCTCAATTTACCCACTGGCTCAATTTACCCCCTTCTCCCCCTACCACATGATGAATTGTTGCAGGCAGAGAAACCAGTCTTGAAATGTATATACACGTTTTTATTTAGGATAAAACACATCCTTAAATGTGGGGTAGGTGATTTTGGAGAAACCAGCTCGAGTGAGCTAGAATTTGAAATTACACAACCGGAAACAATCTGCAACTTCCTTACAAAGCCCCTCCTCCAACACACACGAACGCGCACATGACCAATGAGGGCACGAGATAAGTGTGTGCACAGATGGAAGGCTGACAGGCAGGTAGGCCATCCAGTTACTTTAGCCGGGCCGGCTCAGATCATTGGTCGTGCTTTTTACAGTACTACGGCTTCCACAAATGACATATTTGTATGGATGTTTTGTCAAAGGCATTGCTATCGGGATGTTAAGAGCATTCCATGGAATATAACAAAAAGTGTATCTCGAGCCGGTTTCTCAAATGGCTGCAGTATTCTGTACAAACAACATTTTCATCAACCTTTCTCACATGTCCATTTGCAGGGTCATTCACAGCCGGATATTTGTAGAAGTAAAATGTGTGTACAGCATATTCTAAAAGCGAGACGGTTGAGTATGTTAAGGAGTGATGAAGGATTGGCTAAAATAGTAGTATGGTTGTCTCCACTTGTTCTCATAAAACTGTTCACATTGCTTTTAAACGAGCAATTGTTTAACAAGTGTTATCTCAGCTACAAGTCCTGTATGTTATATTATATTGTGTGTTTGAAAGCTTTAGATTTAGTTATGGATTTTCCTCCCACGAGTAACTTTCTGTCTTTTCTTTATTAAGATCCCTATTAGCACTAGCATGAGCACTGGCTATTCTTCCCGGGGTCCACTGGCTTCTATTCATTTCCATGCATTGGGTAAATCAATAAGCATCCAAAAGCAAAGGATAGCAGTTTAAAGTGCAGGAAAAAAGGAAAATGATGCACTTTCATATTGATAATTTTTCTTTAAACCAAAAAACAATAACAATGGCAGATGAATGGCTGTTGTTATTTCTTATACAGCTCAGGTTTCTGGAGCATCCATATGCTTGTTAAGATTACATTGAGCTGTGACGTTGGGTAAACACGAGGTAGGCATCTCTATAGAGAAATATGAGAATAATATGAATAGAAAGATATAACAACAGGTTGCAGTGATACAAAGTTAGGGTATTAAAGTATCAAACTATAGCCACCTGGATGATGTGCTGGTATGTGTATGTCAACTGGCTGCCCTTTATTCATAATACATTCGGAGTTTTATACTAGAAGGTAAACGTAAAAAAAATCGTACATGTTTATCTGCATTACATTATTGAAACAGCATTGATTACAGGCGTCAACATTGTCTCTGCTAGCTGTAACTTCAGTAGTTATTTTTCTTACATTTAAGTTTTCATTGAGACAACACCACAGAACAGGAAGCACGCCATTTCAATCTATGGACTATAAACTCTGAGGCCAAGATGTACAAAGTTGGCATCAAGCTGTTGGTTGGTAAAAAACGAAAAATAGTACAAATGGGTTTATTTCTTCTTCACGTTTTTAATTTTGACAAGACAAGGTGAAAACTCTTGATATTAAGGAAAGCATCGACAGGGCTCATCTGTTTTGTGTTTCTGACAAACACAGTGGTTCATTTAGCACTGCAGACAGAGAGGACACAGTTTAAAAGCATTGTTCAAATATTTTTAAAGACAATATGCTGACCTAAGATGAGTTCATAAATCACGCTCAAAATAAAACGTATTCTCAGATTTAGGTTCAAATTTTGACAAAATTATCGTCAGAGTAAAAATGTCTCAAATGATCGGAAACTAAAAGGCTGCCAACAAGCTTTCCCAATTAAAAACTCCTAACTTTTATTAGCAGGGTGGTTGATCTAAGGTTTAGCCCTTATAGCGTTTGACTGTACAAACTAAATAACTTAAGCCTCTCCTACAGGGGCACATACAAAACAACTAAACATTAGCAGTCATCAGATTACATTTGAATAACTGTATATATGAATATACCTATATAAAGTATGTACAAACCAGAACATATAAAAACAGGAACTCTGTGCATGGAAGGCAAAAGGACTCTTTCTTCATTCATAAAAAAACACTTATCACCTCATTCTGGGGGATTCACCTGTGGAAAGGGTTGCAAATGAGATACTGGCCTTCAAAAGGGGGATTCAACCCATTTTAAGGATGTACATAAATTGTATGTTGATCAGGAAATGTAAGTCAGTGTTTGTGATAATAGCATGTGAAACTCCTCTGATGGAAAACTGGTCGTGGATACTGGGAAACAAACGGCTGTTGTAAATTAAGGCTGGCATCAAATATGATATCAAATGAAAACCACATTTGGGTGTAGAAATGTACAAATGAATGTGTGTTGAATAAAGCTGTTCTATTTCTGCAAAAACAAATCTTTATAGAGTTTTGACTGACACTGATAAATCCCTCTGCAAGGGCAACACTGATCCACAGGTGAATATCCCGAATTAAGTCCTTAGTAAAGTGAAAACATAAGTGGGAAAGCATGGTCCATTGAAAATGTTACAAAAGTGATGGAAAATCCCCTCTTGAAGCACCCACAAACATTCTCAATCTGCACACAGGCTAGTTATACAAACACACACATCTATCATATCCACGCTGACATCAAGTAGAACTCTGGGAAAGGCACGACCCGCGGAGGGGCTTTCTTTTTTTGGGGAGTTGCTCCAAAGAGAGAGATGGGAGTTTCTGACCGAGTAGCGATGATTTCACCAACAAATGGACAGGATTTTTATCAAGCTCTACTTGAACTGTGGAGATCATCAGTGTTGGATAAAATGGAGCAGTAGTGCGGACAGGATTCAAATGTCATCAATTTGGGAATTTACACTGACGTCAGAGGAAAGCCAGCTTCTAATTTCAATTCACGTGACGAGATCCCAACGAGCTCCTCCTCCTCCTTTGAAAGACAACAAGCTCTGCAAAGCTGCTGCCCATTGTGTGTGTGTGTGTGTGTGTGTGTGTGTGTGTGTGTGTGTGTGTGTGTGTGTGTGTGTGTGTGAGTAGTGTGTTTTATTGTGTTGGTGACCAGAGGGGGCGTTATGGCAGCTGAACTCTGTACGCACAGATGAGTAGCTTGACCTGCAGAAAGAAAAACGATGTAAGAAACAGTTAACAAAAACTGTTCATACCAATAAGACTTGGCCCTTTTTAGCCTCTAAGAATTATACATAATAATAATAATGATATATACAATGTCCATAAAACAAACTCCAAATAACAGCTGGAGCATTATTCACTTCTCTATGACATTACACTCTATACACTATCTTTTTACAACAATTGGCTAAATACACAGCTTCTATCTCGTGTCCTGGACTTTGATTAGTCAAGAACGCTAATCTAACGAAGCTCACACTTTTAGACACTTGTCTCTTCAATTTTTACTTTATTGCAGATTTCGAGAGTACATCAAAATTCTGTAATTACGACTGTCACACAATTATAGAGAGCAGACAGTTTCATGAGCATGATTCAAATTGTGTGTGTTGTATCTCTGTGTGAGTGTCACCTTGGCTATTGGCGCCTCTGCCAGACGAATGAAGAGTCTGTTGATGCCTGGAGCCGGGCTGAAGGAGTAGATGAAGTGACTATCCTATAAAGAAATGTGGAAAGATAACTTAATTTACAGTAACGGGGAACTAAATGCATGCAAAGCTCTAAGGTGTTAGTGCAGGTGTAAGTCATTCTGATCCTCCTGCAGCTACTGTACCAGGAAGATGGGCAGCTGGAACTTGTCGTTGAGCACGACGGCGTGAACGCTGCAGGGTCCGCAGAGCCGCGCCGTGATCTCATTCAGGAAGTTGGCGTGGAAGATGAAGAGGAGGATGCCCGAGCCTGCAGGGGAAGAAGGACAGAGGTATTGTGGGAGAGGAACATTTAGTAAGGATAAAAAAGATAGAAGATGGAGGTCTAGAGAGGCATAGAAATTAGTATGTCAAATGCAACCCAGGGCTGGGTGATGAATCAATAAGATGATGTCTCGTCTTATCCTATTGAGAAGAAATCATAGATCAGAAGTCCCTCCTTTTCCGGTGGACCTCCATGGGACCTTATTTCGGAAAAAGTATGTATTGAAGTCAATGGAGAGCGAAAACGTATCTTTCGATCCCGTTTGAATTGTGCCATGAATTACACATATGATGTTTGTCAATCTTAAAAAATAATTTCCATGTCAAAAAAGTTACAGTTTGTCGTAAAACTGTTGAAATATAAGACTGTGAAAAATACGCAAGTAGAAAGACTACAAATCCCAGAGTCCCGGTCCCGCATGCTGGCTCTCACGGAACCGACTAACTCCCCTTGTGTGTATGTCCAGCTCTCAACATGCCCAGACTTGCAGTGATTTTCACCTCTTTTAATACTTTCCGCCTCATTCTGAAAGAAAGAGGTGAGATGTGCCAACGTGACGGCCGTCTTGGTGTGTGGTGTGATACGAGAGATGTAGTTCATTCAGCGGTTTCACACAAAAAAAAAGTGTTAGTTCACATTTTCACGACACATTTATTTTTTTTTACTTGCAAAATTATCTTTTAAATTGACAAACATCATGTGTAATTTGTGGCACAATTCAAACGGGATCGAAAGATAATCTCTCTCTCCCCATTGACTTTTTACGAAAATAAGGTCCCATGGAGGTCTACCTCACAAATCACACACACTAACTCTCTGAAAACCTGATCTTAAACGCAATATCAGTTCAAAATGAAGGTAGTGGTTTGCTTTTCAAATCACTTTATAACCTCCAAATTAAAGGGTGTGTTTTACCCTCTTGTTGTGGCTGTGACTTGAAGCCGAACTCCAGCGAGAAGTCGGGCCCCTCACAGAGCCGGTGGCAGGCGAGAGGGAAGACGGGCTCCAGCAGCACCAGGCGAGACTCAAAGTACGCTCTGATGGCGTCCTCCGCTACACTGGCCAGCCTGAGAGACAGAAACAAACAGTCACTTTACAAACAAAATACATCATGAACACACCAAAATGAAGGGATTCTATTTCATTTGTAACATAATGTACTTGGTAAAGCCAGAGGTGGGAAGTAGTGGAGTATAAATACTTCATTACTGTACTTAAGTAAATTGTTCTGGTATCAGTACTTTACTCCACTACTTATTTTTCTGACGACTTTTTACTTTGACTTCTTACATTTTGAACACAAATACCTGAACTTTCTCCTTCTTACATGTTCAGGGTATATGCAGGAATCCTGAAGTCAAATTGAATACCTTTTAAGACCTTTTCCATACATTTTAAGACCTCATCGCAACTTCGAGTTCTAACCGGTTACATTGGCGACACACTTTACCTCACATTTACTATATTGATTGTAAGATAGCACAACTAAACAGAGTGCAGACAGACTACTGAAGCCTCCTCTCCACATGAACTTCAACCTCTCTGTGAAGGTCAGGGTTAATGCAGGATGCTGCTTTGTTGCTTCTGTGCTCTTTCATTCCAGTAAAACTCCTCAGAAACCATTAGAAACCAGTATTTGACCAATAAACAAAACAATTGACAAAACTTTGAACTATGAAATATATTAAACTTTGGTGAGCTTCAGCGGGGTAATGCCACATAGGAGCTCCCTCACAAATACCATGGGGTTAAACTGGGCTGGGGCTGTCCGGGGCTAAGCCCGGCACATAGGACGATGCTCTGACGTCATCACCCTCACACATTTGTCATATGTTTAAAAAAACCGATATGTATGTTAAGACTTTTCTCGTTCTTAATATAGACTATATTTAGGGTCGATATGTGTTGACCTCACTTTAAAATAGCAGATCTCTGTGACCGGATATAGTTTGGCTTAGACCCCGGCCCCACGAGGACGCAGACAGTAAAACGCATACGCAAACGCAAAAAAGTCTTCCGTTCACACGCATTCGATTCATTAACGTGTCCGTTCACACTAGACCGCTGGAAATGCTGGAAACGCTGTAGTACATATGCCAGGCCTGTAAGTGGCGCTGCTGCCGCCACAAAATACACAAAAAGCAGCGAAGAAGACCCCGGAGCATGGTTGCCCTTCTGTTTATTCTCTGCGGTGGACGGCGTGTTCTCCTGCTGTATATCTCTCAGGTATTCCACCAGCAGATAACCCCCCCCCCCCCCCGCACAGAGCGGAGCAAGGCAACTAACTTAAAATAAGAAGCAGCATTTTATGGCACGCTATGCATGGGGCCACCTTGAGGGGGTTTCCCGACATGTTGTTTCAGTAAATTAAAGGGTGTTTTATGTTGTCGTTGCTGTGGACCTTCTTAATACCTTGGAAAATGCCGTTTAATACTTTTTACGCTGTCCATATAATCACCATCTGCCCCTTATATAGACCAGCCTCGGAAGCCGGCCGCTTTGACCTAGGACCAGAGATGCGGGCATGGCTACACGACACCGAGTTGGACCTCTAACGTTACACGAAAGAAGAAGTGAACACGATCCGTGTATCCGTCATTTCCTGGTCTTCTCTAAAGAAGAGGGACCAATGGAAACGTTGCCGTTGTTCAGCATGGAAACATTCATTAGCTAACAATGACATTATTGTTCTATTAATATAAAGGGAGGTCAGGTACTCTTTAAAACAGCTGCTAGTTATGGGTACTTTTTACTTAAGTACACTTCAAAGCCCATACTTCTCTACTTTTACTTGAGGAAATAAGTTTAGTCAGTACTTCTACTTTTACCAGAGTATTTTTAAATATCTGTACTTCTACTTGAGTAAAGGATGTGTGTACTTTTGTCATCTCTGGGTAAAGCTGTAATGACTTAGCACTACTGTGTTACATTACACCTGTTTTACCTGGTGTTTATTAGTAATTTATTACATGGCTTAGTTGAATACTCTATTATGATTGGTCAATTCAGAACACGTGACACGTTGTTAATCCAGAACAGACAGACCGCTGTCAAGCACGTATTGACCATTGTTAAGGACGCTCACATCTGCACAAAGAAGTCCGTTCGATTGAACTGTATACAGTTTTTGAACTGACAAGAGCGACAAGAAAACAGCGGAGAAGTAACGGGCAGAAACCCTCCTTTTTACGCAGCGGTCCAGACATAGACACCAAACGGCAAAACATATTACTTTGGCATTAGGGCAGGGATATCTAGATACTTTCCAAGGTTTGACATAATGAATTGTGCTACTTTTAAAGCAAGCAACGATGCTCCGCCTTCCTGCCGTTGCTACGTTTTTCAAATCGTAACAACGGACTATTTTTCTTAGCAGATGCATGTCAATTTAAATCAATACATACAACTATTTTTTAAATCAATAAAAACATTTTCTAAATCCATAAAAGCATTTCAATTAATATTGGGAGTCATATCTTTACTTTGTTGAGAACGTGGCCATGTAATATGCGGGATTATTATATTATAATTATTATTAGGGACATTATCCCTTTCAGTGTTTCTCAAACTTTTTCATACCAAGGACACTTAACCAATAAAAAAACACTCGCGGACCACCTAACTCCACAAATATCCAAAAACACATCGTTTTTCTAGAACAGATTACAAATCGCCTGAAAATGGTACAAACAAGTGGTAACATGTGTGATGAAGGTGTTGCGCTGGGCTATATCATGCAATCGAAAGTGAAACTTAACCTCACTCCATTGCGGAGATATTCCTGCGAGAGTGCGGAAAACTTAAATGTATTTATTTATTTCAAATGTGAAATTGTACCAATATACTCACGGACCACTAGGGGGCGCTCACGGACCACCAGTGGTACGGACCACACTTTGAGAAGCACTGCCTTACATAGTGCTTTGTGACACACCAGGAATCATTACAGTATTCTAATGTTTGACTCACATGCTGACGTGGTCCTTGATCAGGTCGCACACCATCAGGTTGTTGCCCAGCTTGGCGAAGTACATGGCAGCGGTCTTGGTTTTGGACATGATGTTGCAGTCCGCTCCGTACTCCAGCAGGAGGCGCACTACGTCAGCGTTCCCTCTTTTGCAAGCCTGCAGTGAAGGAGAGGAAATATTTACCGAAACAGCATGTGTCCCATTTACAGATCTTACCACTGTAAATCACTGAGTACAAGAGCCTTAAATCTTCTTTTTCTAGTCTTTATTTTTTATTTATTTAAATTTAAAAATGTTCTAATGTAAAAAATGTATGGCGTTGGACGGATTATTGGCGTAAACTATTTTATTATGTATGAAAATAAATTAATAAAAACGTAAAGAACAACACAAATATTCTTGTTCTCGTCTCATCACCTTTACCTTAAATTTACACACATTTCAATCAATCTGGTTTTGAGACTGATTGCAATCAGTAATAATACTATTTATAATCGACTATGTATGCTTAACAATTGAGATTTCTAAAGGACCTATATTACATGTAAAACTTTTATAGGCATATAATAGATTTTAAGAATGATATTTTCAAGCTTTTAAATTATTCTTAAATAGTGGTCGACGTTGTTTGAGACTGATGTGTGGTGTAAACGGTCCAACTTGGGTTGTTTTAGTTGTTCTGAGGTGTGTGTGTGTGTGTGTGTGTGTGTGTGTGTGTGTGTGTGTGTGTGTGTGTGTGTGTGTGTGTTTATTTGTGAAATGCAGCATTACCTTCATCAGGGCCGTCTCCCCACTGAGTGTCTGAGCGTTGACGCAGGAGCCCGCCTCCAGCAGGATAGCAACGGTTGTCAGAAAGTTCTGACAGATAGAGATTAAGGAGAAAAAGTGTGAAAAAACACCCAAAAAGTGATGACGGCAGATGATGTTAATACGATCGCTAACACATTTTCTGAAATGTGTGAAAACTGCTCGGGAAGATGAAATTAAAACTTTTTTTTGGTAATGAAATGATGCTGCAAGTTTGTCTGTTTGCGCATGTGTGTATTTTGAGTACATTTTTGTAATAACAGTTTAAAAATCGATTATCCCTAAATCAGATTCATGTTCTTCCATCACTTTCTCAAGATGTTATATCTAATGTGTTCGCAAACCGTGGCTTATGGACAAGAGGCAGCATTATAATTCATTTGGAGTTGTGTCTCTGGCCAACTTATGAATGTTAGTCTAATCTTTATTCTCCTTTTGTCTCCTCCAGTTCTGGATGGAAAAGTTCTAAATGAAATATGCACCAATGCACATTCTCAAATATTGAAGTGACTGTTATTTTGTATATATTGACTGTTGTGTTTTTATTTAGGTCTCAATGTAAAAATGTGTCTTTGATTCTGTGTATATATATATATATATATATATATATATATAAATATTTGCACACATATTTTTAGATACATTTGTTTTTATATTCTGGATTGTGGGAAACGGTATTTCGATCTCTCTGTCTGTACACACAAACTGGAAGATTGACAATAAAGTTGACTTTGATAGCTTCATAGAAACATTGTCATTTGAGGTAAAATGCACTGTTACCTTTTCAGCAGCGTGCATCAGCGCTGTGGTGCCGTTCTTCTGTCGTCCGTTCACCTTCACCCCCTTCCTTATCAGCAGCCTGAGGATGTCGTCCTGCCCCCCCACTGCTGCCAGCATGCTCAGAGACATACCGCTGCTATCCTGCGGACAAACAGACAAATATAGAGCTACATGTCACAGACGTGGGTGGGCAATCGGCAACTGTGGATTTTTAATTAGCAGGTTTTCAATTGTGTAACAGCTGGAGAGGAGGAATCACTTCGATGTAACTAAAAGAGATGGATTTTGAGGTATAAATATATCCCAATTTTAATCTTAATCTCGTTTTGGACAGAGACTCACCACCATCTAAGATTGGATATAGACTACGGCTTTTTTTCTTTTCACATCCATGACATAATGGGTCAAATTTGCTTAAAAAAATTCAAATTTTAATAATTTTACATTAATCCTTTGGTGGAAATTCAAGTTTGATCAAATGTGCATAAGAAATGTAAAATAAGTGTTACGGTTTTTCACTGATATTGTTATTTTAAATAATCAAAATCATTCAAAAATATTTATTTTTCTTCTAATCCATCCATTAAAAAAAAAAAAAAGCAGCCTGGTACTCTCTGGATAGATCGACACAGAAAAAAACATTCACACGCGTTTCATTCATCTCGTTAGGCAATTTAGACTAGTCCCTGACTTGCATGCCCTTACACACACAGAGGAAGCAACTGCAGGCGCGCGCGCGGGGGGGGGGGGGGATCTTCTTTCCCTGAGGCGACAACCCTGACCCTTTAACTTGGGTCAGCAAATGTTTCTTGTGTGATTTTATTTATTGTGCTCAAATGTCCTAATGACATTTCTTGACAACTATTTGATGAATTGCAGCGTAATTAATTAGCGACAGTAAAGGTCCCTTGAGGATAAATTGTAATGATTTAGGTAATCAAGGCTTGTCCTTTAGCATCACAAGCAGGTACAAATATTCAATCATTTCCTTTACATTTATCATCATTGGATTGGCACAACATTTTTATACAAACATTCATACTTACCAAGACTCAAGTCCTACGAATCCTGGCAAATGCTAGCACACTAAACAAGATCATGAAGATGGCAAAACATTATACCTGCCATTCACTAGCATGATAGCATGTTGACACTTGTTTTTTGAACACAAACTCTTTAAAGTTTAAGTCAAGAAGCATTTTATTGTACAAGCTGGGGTTATAAGTTCCTTACAGTACTTGATCATAAGCATTAGGAGAAGGCAACATAATTACAACAGGATGAAGAGTAAAACGCAGTGTGCTCATACAATGGCAATGAGAGGAAGTTATAACTATACAGGGAAATGTTGCTTTGCAACACCAAACAGCAAGTGTAGCGTCTGAATGAAAATTAAACATCTGTAGACACTACTGTATACCGCAACTTTCAAAAACTATACAAGGAAAACATGTTAGCTGTTGGTGTGAATGAGCACACAGGTCACATGATCGGGCTCACAGTCAAGGTTTTGTTTGTCTGACTCTCAGGGCTTTGGGTACAAAAAAAATGGTTATTCTAAAACATATTCACTACAGTTGGTATTCAGGATCACACGAACAGCCTTGGTGCAATCTGAAAGTCTAAACCATAACTTTAGCTTCCTGATCACAAAGACATTTTTAAAAACGACTGCAGAAGGCATGTTCTTTTCTGGTGTCCTAATAACGAAAGACACGACTAACCAGACATCAGATTTAAACCTGTGAATATCCAATGGCAAATAAACACTACAGTGACAATGTTTTAAACTGAAATTTGGCTTGTGACCAGCAATCTGCTATTGACAATGTGGATTTCAGGTTGAACCTGTGTTCAGTATTCTGCTTCAAACCTACTACAAGGTACGTGTTTGACAGGAACAAAGTTCAGCTTAAAAATTAAATGTGTATTTTGTGGGCAAATAAAACACTGTCTTTCAGTCAAAGGGGATATTGATAATGACTATATTAATTTACTTGACCTTTAATGTTATCCATTGGGAATCAAAGTGGTTCAATCATTGTCCATCTGCCACACATATTCTACACATCCCTTTGGATTTTTAAAAATGGTCTCATTTTTATTCTGGTCATACATTTATTTAAGGCAATCTAATTTTGGCTACTAGATATCAATATCCAGATAGTAAAAGCTTAAAAGGAAGTAATACAACTTAGACAAATGTAGTGTATAAACCCCAAATCAGAGTATACGAAATATGATAAAATACTCAAATGTTCCGCACCGTTGCTGTGGTGATACAAAAATACAACAACCAAAGCTTACAGCAGCTTATTAATAAACATACAACAAAACTAAAAACTTAAACATGAAAAAACATTATTAACAAGATTCATGGTTAGGTGAGAGGTATACACATGGAGCTCCTAATTCTCTAACATCAGCAGGGAAGGTATACCATTACTGCTGCAGACTATCAGGGGCCATCTACAATATAGGCTACTGGCTAAAGAAAGAACACAGTACACTCGGGCAGGCATTTGGGAATTATGTAAAGCAAATCTACCCACATCTATCATGTTGGAGGGACTGGATGCAAATACTGCTGGTAGGTTTTCCATTTGTTTTATGATCATCAAAATCCATAAAAACACTACTGAAAACAGTACAGGCAGAAAGATAGGTGTTTCAGTAGGTATTGACGTAAAGAAGAGTAAAAATGTCTCACTGAGGCTACCTTTGCTCAGTTTCACATATCATTTGTTTGAAAATATCAAAGCGTGTTTACAGTAGGTGCTGCAGTTGCTTCATCCCAAAGCCAGTGACTAATTGCAGGTGGCAAATCCTGGAACAAATTAGGTTTACATTTACTAAATGATCACACATCTAAATTAGAGCACTTTCCAGAGATCAAACCTGTGATGATTGGACAACTTGACAGAGGTACATAACTGACTGTCACATATGCAATCTAACCATATTAAAACATTACCATCAGCCTTTTTCTAAGTCAAAGCTACAGTACAAACGTCCTTAGTTAGACCCATTTAGCGTATAGTCATGCAACAGTACCAATGGACATGATTCTGAATACTTTGAACTTTAAACAAAAATTTGACTAAAAGAAAGGCAGGGCAGACACCAATTCACTGCTGAATTATTAAAGGTCACATGTCATGGCCATTTCCACTGATCATAATTCCATTGTTGAGGTCTACTAGAATAGATTTATATTGTGCAATTTTCCAAACTCACATTGGTTTCGCACACAGCATCTCTGTAAAGTATGTGTATTCAGCAGTATTCACTCTCTGCACTAAACGGCTCGTTGCAGCTCTTGCCCCCCCCCCCCCCTCCCTGTGAGCCCAGTGTGCTCTGATTGGTCGGGACCAGTCGGGACGTTGTGAATCGCGCTAAGCTCCATGGAGGTGTGATTTCCTTGTTTAGCGATACACAGCGAAACTCATCCTGAGCACACACAAAGTCACAGCCGAAGTAAAAACAATAAGTGTGGCTTGATATTGAAGGGTTGATAAATGCTGTGAGAATGGGTCTGCAGAGAGAATGGGTCTGCAGAGAGAATTTCGCCGCGATCCCAACTGTCTGTTATCAGCCTGCAGCCAGGGAGGAGATCAGCAGAGCTGCTTGCACTGAGTGTGTGAGGAAGTCCGTGGATTGGTCAATTTGGACCAATCAGCGGGGGCTTAACGTAACGGCTCCGCGGACGTAACGGCTCCACGGATTGGTCCATTTCGAAGAATCAAATGGACAGTGACGTATCTTCAACGAGGCGTTTTGGAGAGTTATTTTCTGTTTTAGAGTTTTACTCGCGACATGGTGTACTTTGAGGGTTTTGACTTTGCACACCGTTTACATGCATAAAAACCTTCATAACACACAAGGGGACGGGTAATAACCGGAAAAGCATGACATGTCACCTTTAAGGTAAAAGCTACAGCCCTTGCACGCCTCTAAAATCACTTATTGTTTGTTTTTTTTGGAAGTCCATTCGAAATATTTACAGGGACATATAAACAGGACCATCCCACTCCGTGTGTGGATTATTTTGTGTCTCTGGTTCATGTCCTTCACTCGGTTTGGAGGCCACAACATGCCCTCTTCTTTTAAATGACTGAATTGAGTTATGTACAAAATACTTGACATCCCTCCATGTTCTGCTGTTTAAGGCAGGTTCAGCAGCTAAACATGCATCACAATCCTTTTTGCCTGGCACTTTCACAAGTGTACAGAAGTCTCCCATCTGATGCCTCACAGCATCCTGCTCCTCCTTGCTCCACAACCTCTTGTTTCTCTTTTGAGGCTTGTCAGCTGCACTTGACCCACTTTCCTGTCCAACTGGTGTTCTGTCAGAAACACCCGTTCTATGGACTGTTGGGACAACCTGAGCAGTTGTAGGAGCCCTAGGTGGTGATCCTGTGGGGTACCCAGGTGTACTTACATTGTTCAAAGGTGTGAAAGAAGAAACAATTGGCCTATTTCTGTCAGTTATTGGTGAGAAAGCAGTGGCCATTGGTGCAATTGTGTTCAATGGCGTGAATGTAGGAACCATTGAAGTGCTTGGGACAGTAAAGGTGCTAAAATGAGGAATCATGGATGAACCTGTATTGTCCTGTGGTGTATACACAGAAGATACTGACATACTTGTGGCATTCTGTGTATAAGAAGGGGACAACGGCATTATGATGTTGTTCTCCGATGTGTATGCAGGAGGCATTAGTGCATTTGTTGTGTTGTGTGGAGTGAATGTAGGAACCACTTGTGTATCAGTAGCGTTTAATGGTGTGAAAGTTGAAATCAACTGTTGACTTGTAAGGTTCATGTCTGCACTAGTAGAACACAAGGAAGCATACGTTGAAGTCATCTCCTGGGAGAAATTGGTTGGAACCATTGTCATACAACAACTACTTTCAGTCAGATGATCTAGATTCACTGTTGTCAAACTACACACAACGTTCGAGTCTTCCAAATCTTTCTCTGTGTTTTGGACTCCACCTTTTGAACTCTCAGTTAAACTCCCGTCAGATTTATGGTGGTTACTTCTCCTCCGTATTGTCTGTAGTGTGTTGTGTACGTAGTTTTTGACGTCGGTCCAAGATCTCCCACAAAGATCTGGTTCAGCAGCTATGCAAGCATTGCAC